TGCACCAATTTGGGAAGTTCTCATTAGTTATTCCTTTGAATAGACTCTGTTCTCTTCTATATCTCTTCTCTTTCTGATACTCAGTATCTTTATGTTGTTCTTTCTAATGTAGTCAAATATTTCTCACAGAGTTCTTTTATTTTTTAAACTTTTAAGTTCTCTCTTTTTCTACCTGAATTATTGGAGCTCACTAAATATCTCTTCCATATGGTCTACTCTCTTTCCAAAGCTCTCTAGCACACTCGTCATACCATTCTGAGTTCTTCAACACCAAACTTTGTGTTTGATTCTTTTTATAGTTTCACTCTCTTTTGTTCACTTATTTTATTCCTGAGCTCATTGAACTGCCTTTCTGAGTTTTCTTGTATCTAATTGAGTTTCTTCAAAAGTGCAATCTGACATTCTTTGTCATTTAAATTAGTCTTCCATGACTTTGAGTTTGATTGTTGGAGAACTGTCATATTCTTTTTGTGTGACTCTGTTGCCTTCATTGTTCCTGGTGCTTGGTGGGTTGTTGCTCTGCCAGGGCATTTGAAGGAGTTATTTCAGTACCATGTGATTTTTTTGTTTTAAGAGTTCAGCAGGTAGATAAGATTTATTTTTCCAGTAGATGGTACCATAGTGCAGGTTTTTGTTTCCTCCTACCTGTGCCACTTATACTTCCAGGGTCATGGTGTCGGGTCATCACTCTGGCCATGAGAGTCACTACTTGTGTGACTGGGGTTGTGGGTATACTCACTGTGTCCAGGTTGCCAGGGTCTCGGGGATCCATATTACGGTGAAGAGAAGTGTTGGGTGGGCAAGCCAGTTTTATGAGCCTGCCATGCTATTACTTGGTTCTCTGTGGCTGCTGGAGCTGCTGTGCTGTACTAGGGAGACTATAGACATATCTCCACTGCTATTATGGGGTTCTGCTGCCACCATCCAGGGGGGAGCCATATTTTTGTATGCTGACACTGTTTCAGTCCCTCTTACCCTCTGCTGACCGTAGCATGGGAACTGTACTATGACTTCAGCACTACTACCACATTAGCTGGGGTTATGGTCTCAACAGTGGTCACTGGGAAACTGCATCTGCAGGCACAGTCCCATCCCTGCCCATCCCTCAGTGGCTCAGTACGTCCACCTTCCAATGTACCAATGTGTGGGTCTCTCAGGCATGGGAGTATGTTGAGCAGAAAAAACCTTGGGTTATAGATGTCCAACTAGTTGTAGATTAAAGGAAAGATACAAATGTGTCTTCTTACTCTACCATGATGTTCTGCTTTTTATTTTTATCAGTTAATGAACAGCTTCATAGAAGCTGTATCCTCCCTAAGACATAATTAACAGCTTAATTGTAATAAGTAATTAACCCAGAAAGCTTCTAGTTTTCTTTAATATAGAATTCAAGAATAAGAAATGGATTCTAAAAATGTTCCACACATTTTTCTCCCATGTTCTTAATATAGAGAACATCATTGATCTTTTCAAAAAGTTTTCAAATCTTTCTTAATAAAAGCCTCAATACTGGCTGCATACCACTCTTGGTCTTATTCTATGAAGTTTTTATCATGATGTAGATGGAAGAAGGATGCAAAGAATCTGTAAATATATTTTAACAAAAAATTTACATATACTATAGACATGATTTAATTATTTAATTGTTCATATTCTACATTCAGTACAAAATTGGCTAAATGTGTGTATGTTTATGTATGTGTTAAAAACATGTACACATATATAGAATATTGCACTTAACTACAGACTTCTAAGGTTGCAAAAACATTACTAAAATTGGCTCTATCATAGGCTCTGCAGCCTGAGAAAATATGTTTTGAAGACTTAAAAGCAAGTAAACTTTTGAACAAGATTGATTTGAGTTCTAATAATACTTTATAATATTAGTAAAAAAAAAGAAATTAAATCATATTTTGAACAGATGGCAATGAAAAATAGAACTTATTAAACATAGCTAAATTGCTTCTTAGAGAAAAATTTACAATCTTGAGAGAATAATTTAGATTTAATAACCAGAAGGGAGTGGGGATAATGGGAGAAAGAAGGGATGGGCCATCATGGAACATGAAGGACCCATGGACAAAGCCAAAGGGGGGTAGGATCCAGGGTAGAATGTGGGGGTGGGTAGGGCAGGGGAGTGTGGGGTGGAGGGGGTTGTGGAGACAACTGTGCTTGAACAGCAAAAAAAGATTTTAAAAAATTAAAAATAAATAAAAATAAAACCTTATCAATAGAAGAGTAAATTAAACCCAAAGTTAAAGGAAGAAAATCATTAAGATAAGAGCAGACATTAAAGATGTAAAAAACAAATAGAGAATTGTTACTATAACAATGCAAAAATATGTTCTTTGAAACTTATTACTCCCTCCCAATAATTATCTACAAAACAAATAAAATTATGAAAGGCACAAATAATCAAGTCACAAGGAAGAGAAATTGTTATAATTCTAATACCAATACAATATGAGGAAATGATGAAATATTTTATGCCAATACTTTTGAAAGTACAGATTTAAAAAATTTTCTAAGAAAAAAAGTTTAACAAAATAGACATGATAATACATATATAGCTATATTATATTAAATACATTAAATCCATATTTAATAATTTCTACAAAGAAAACTTTAAGCCCAGGTGGCTGAACTAGTGAATTCTACCATATAATAAAAGGTAGATATAAAATTAATATTACATAAACTTTCTGTAAGAATATAAGGACAGCATAATCCTGATAGCAAAATTTTTCAAGACCAGTACAAGACAGAAAATATGAAGGCAAGTCTCTCTCTTTTATTCATATATATATATATGAATTATATTTATTATATATCTATCATGTATATATATACATATATACGTTCCTTAAAATATAGAAAAGTGAATCTTGTGTTATATAATCAAGGCATACATTATGACAAAGTTAAATTTATTCCAGGAATGCATTCAATATTAAAAAGCCAGTGAACATAATTCATCACCACTGAGAAAAAGATGGAGAAAATGATATTTTATAACCTCGCCCCCAAAGCATGTTTATAACAGTGATATTTATAATGGCACCAAAATGTACACTGAATCTAAAATAATTTGTGAAATATTAGTATAATGATGTCTTAAAAATAAGCTATTAAATTCAATAGCAAAGATGAATATTGAAAACATAATTTTGAATTAAGATGGAGGAGGTATAAAAATGCATACTTGTGTTGCTAGTATTTCTAGGGACCCGTGCTAGTAATATTCTAGCATTTGACCTAGGTAGTGATTACTTAAGTATGTTTACAGTATGGTATTTCAAAAAGCTTTATCCTTTATGCTCTAAATCGTGCATGCTATAATTCAATTAAAAGTTTTATTAATATTTTTAAAGCAGAATATCACATATTCATGATATAGAAAGATATCCATAGGTAAATATTTTGTAGGTATCTTATAATATGTGTACCAGCATCTTGAAAAGGATTAAAACAATATTTACTTCCTTGCTAGCTAAATAAATAAATTGATTAGATAAGGATCTACCAACTTCTTTAATTAAAGAATTAGATAGTAAATATTTTTGGTTCTTTGGGCCTTAGAATTTTTATTACAACTACTCAACTCTGCTATGAAAGCAGCCATAGATTATGTGTGACTGAGTTCCAGTTAAACTTTACGTACAAAGTGGTCGCAGGCAACTTTTGGCCTTTATGTCATAAATAAAAATCCCTGGGTTAAATGATTAAACAGATGGCTAGAGAAATGAGACATGTATATCTACATGTTCAAGTATTGTCAAAGTATTTTTTATCTCATCTTTCTAAAATATGGGCTCATGAAAATCATTACTGGGAGTTGCCTGATTAAGTTATATTGGATTTATTGATTTTTTTATTTTTACATGCTTTACATATTGGTATGATTTATATTACTACAACTAATTACTCATTGTGATTTTACCATGTCCAACCCAAAGAGGTATTGTCAACTTGATTCAGTATTCCACTCCCCCTTTCTCTTGGCAAATATGTTCTAAGATTCCCAGAGGATGTCTGAAACCACAGACTGTACCAAACCTGTACATGTACATATCTATGAGAAATCTTAATTTATAAATTAGGCACAATAAGAGATTAACAATAATGGATAATAAAATAAAACAAGTATAACAATATACTTTAATAAAAGTTATGTGAATGTGGCCTCTCTCAGAATATATTATTGTACTTTACTCACCCTTCTTATGATGATGTGAGATGATGCAATGCCTACATAATGAGATGAAGTAAAGTGAATAATGCAAGCTTTGTAAAGTAGCATTAGGCTATTATATGGGTTACTCGAATACTGGATAACACTGTAATACTGGGACAATCCACCTGATAAGAAAGGTGGCCTCTTTGTGACTAATGGGCAAATAGCACATATAGTCAGGATACAGTGGACAAAGGCATGATGCAGGTCCCAGGAGGGAAGGAGAATAACAGTTTGAGATTCATCATACTACTCAGATTGATATACAATTTAAAACATGAATTTTTTATTTCTGATGCTTTCCATTTAATCTTTTTGGACTAAGTTTGATTACATGGCTAAGTGACACCATGGAGAATGAAATTGTGGATGAAGGGGCAGCACTGTAACCATATTTAAAACATACTTTTCAATATTTTTAACTGATACAGAAAGTTTAACAATGTAAAAAACTAAAGTAGAATAATATACTCTCACATTTTAGTCACTGTTCAAACAGATCTGTTTATTATCAGGATTTATTTATTTTATTAGATGATTGCTACAGTTTGTTGTTTTGTCAAAATTTGACTTTGTATTTATGTACTTAAAGCATTAAGGGTTTCTAATTTAGAACAGATTAATCTACTTCTGGCTTTGTTGGTTTTATGGTGAGATAATCTATTTACTTAAATCCTTCTTTTTTGTTAACAGCTTAATTAATTAGTCAGACAAATGATTACACAACACATACTAAAACAATAAATTCCTTCCTTAATTGTTGCAGGCAAGAATTACACCCATGTCAAGCTGAACTGATTCTTCTAGGGACGACTATCAAAGCAAGTGAACCTATCAATCATGTATCTAGAAAACCTCTGCCAGACTCCAGTTCTGTCTTTATTGGTGGATTTCCAGATCTCCATGGAATGAAACAGGTATTTCTATTAATATACTTATTATGGCATTTTATGAGGGAGAGAGAGAGGAAAACTTAAGAAAAGTTTCCTGGTTAAAGGAGTTATCTACATGGTTTCAAAAAGAAATTTTGAACAATTGCACTAACATTAATTTATCTTGGCAAAGTATAGATAAAGTTTACTGTTCTGTTTTATAAAATTGTGCCACTGTTGGGCTGTTTTTCCATCATATGGCTATAAATCTGTGTTACATTTCATGATAATATTAAGCACATGGGCTTTTGTTCACTTCCATGCTAGCAACTGATAGATATTTGAGAGGGTTGTCCAAATGCAATACCAAAAACAATTCAAGAAATGGAACTGGAAGACCGTTCCTAGTCTCTGCTTCATATAAGGTTACTAAAATGTAAGGGTGTTCTCTACAGAGTTTTGTGCATATGCCAGCCTACTTTTTAAATTTCCATTTAGATAATTAGTCAATCTTCATTATTAACCTATATTTTAAGAAATAAGAATGCATACTAACTTAAATGTTATTGATTATTTTGCTTCATTTTATGTTATTACGGAGAACTACATTAAAAATTTGTTTGCTTGTAAAGTGTACCAATAGCTTAATATGTTCAAAAATCTTTTCTCTTACCATATTCTCCATCATGCTTTACATATAACTATATATTTCCAAAATAAAAGGTGAGTTTTTCATATAGAATATAATTTTTGTAAGCATACATTAATTAAATGCAAGTAGTTGTCAAGGCTCTAGGAGCTATAATTCAAATGAGGAGATACACAGATATCTCTGATACAGTATAGATATTTACTCTAATAGAAATCTGATCAATATACAGAGGCAATGTAGAAAAATAGAAAAGGAAAGCACCTGGTCTGCCCAGAGCAGTAATGGAGTTTGTAGATAGATATCCTAGAAATAATCAAGTTTCAACCAGGGAAATAATATGTAGACTGTCATTCAAGGCAGATGAAACAACATACACACAGAGTCTTAGGTAATGGAAAGGCTAAGGAGAGGGCGAGTGGCGGCAAATATAATTTATTATTGTGGAGACATGGAATTTGATGTGAATGGAGCAGGAGGCACACTTGAGGTTGGGAAAGTGAAAAAGAGTCTGAGAATAATGGATCCTGTATGAAATATAAAATAGTATAGATTTATATGCTGGTGCCTGGAGGTGCCATTTAAATTTTAACAAGGAGTGATATTATGTAGTTTTCACTTTAATAGTGGCCAAAGTACAGAATTAGAGGGCTTTAGACTACAGGTCAAGAATTGGTGAAGTTAGGTAATAGGAATATTTAAATAAAAAACAACATTGTGGTGATAACAGTGAGAAGATGACTGTGAATGCTATTAAACTTGTGAATAATTATAGGTAAAAAAAGAAAGAAAAATTTAGAATTTGAATTTGAATGACCAGGTTAGCTTATACAGGTAGGAAATTTGTGCTGTCAAATTAAGATGTGGATCACAAGATTATTTACAGGGAAAGATGGCAGGTTCACTTCTGCATTTGAGTTACTTTTGGGCAGGGGTAATTTTCAAATATTTAACTGGCTTGCCATCACCACTAACCCTTCAGTCCATTTAATCTATACATTCCTGCTGTGTGACATTCCTATCAATGGGACATTGTGATTAGAGTAAGTCCTCTGAAATATGAGCCTAGAGCTACAAGAGATCCTGACCGTATGGCTGTGAGAGTGTTTACAGCAAGTGATAGTAGAAGCCACAATGTTTGATTGAGTGGATTTTGTAGAGAGAGCTAAATATTGGGGATGAGCAGTCAAGGAATAGGTTTAAGGATTCCCCACAAAACTGGTTAAGAAGTAGAAAGACTGGAGGTAGAACAAGGGAAAAAATGCTATCACAAAACTGAAAATGGAGAAAGTTACCAAAAGGTGCAAGCGTTCAAAGCCAAAGCTACAAAAGGTCAACCAGCAATGTCGGGAGACCAGTAAGAACAGAAAACAAATATTGTAATATTTTGAGTAAGAATAAATGGAGCAACAGAGTGATTTTAGGTTATTACCAGAAGTCTGTTAAAAATGGAACAAGGACAAACAGAAAATACATACATACATACATAAATAAATAAATAAATAAATAAATAAATAAATAAATGAAAGATGTTGCCATCTTGTGGAGGACAGACTCCCAAAGGAGAGTTGCAGAGACATATAATACTAATTGACTATAGTCTAAACACTTTTTCTCCCCAAACTTCTTTGAAAGGAGTGGCATTTGCTAAGAGATTATCTCATTAAAAACTTAATATTTGTCGTGTGTGAATGAGTGAAGTTATCTTGAAATTAAAAGGACAACCAATTAAGCAGTTTTCCCCTCCTTGTTAAATATGCTGCATTTAAAGATTTTATATCAATCCCTCATTGATTCCTTATTCTTTCATTATACTGTTTTTGTTCTCAGTTTTATGTGTGTGTACAATTGTGTATATATGACGTGTACTTACATGACTATACACTAAATGGTTGATACAAGCAAACTGTAACATATCCATATGATAACACTAAAGAGAAAACATATAATAAATCAGAGAGAAAAAGGAAAAACAACTTTGTGAACTCATTGCTGTACAATGCAGCCCCCCTGAATATCGAAATACCATGCAGGCTCTAACTATCTAATTATTGTGTTCTGATTAAGAGCTGCTGTTTAAGCACAGTGGGTTGTCAGTGCTCAGAAAATTAAAAACAACAGGTTTTCAGTATAAAACACTAAGGAAGAGAGCTATAGCTGATTTCTTGAGCCAATAAATGTTAAGGCATAATTATTCTCTTGACTCTAAGTTTCCAATAATGTCTTTCTGTACTGGCCAGAGCCCCTTCACATGATGACTCTCTAATCCAATGTGTATGTGCTGAGAGGTTGTTTAATGTTTCCTTTAACAAAAACACACAGAGCTCAGTATGTGAGGAGAGAAGGAAACAGTTAGAGACTTCCAGCTTTGTGCCTGAATTGTGGAAAACTCCACATCCACTGATGACTGTATGATAACTTCCAGGGTCCGAGAGTAAATGCCCTTTCTCTGGTGGCTGGTAAGAAAACACTTTCCTTGCTAGTATTTTAATTGCTTACACTTTTCAGTGCATAGACTCCTGCTGTTAATTCCAAATTGCTTAAGGGCACCAAATCTTAATTCCTAATAAACACAGACCAAGTTATAATGGTAATAACTATTCTCTTTGCTTTATAAAAGAAAGCGTTGATAAATACTTTCTTTTATAAAAGAAATAACTGTGCACATAAATATTATTAATCCGTTACTGGAATTTTTTCTTTCTACAGAAGTTGATAACATAAAACGTGTTCTAGAAAGATGCTATTTTTTATCACATTCAAGTCAATCATGAATATTAAAAGCAGAATATACTATGTCATCTATTCTATACAGGACTGGAATTTTTCAAGAATCAGGGATTGACTTAGTCCATTTGGGCTGCTGTAACAAAAATACATAGACTTGATACCTTAAACAGCAAATACTTATTTTTTCAGAGTTAGGGGGGTTAGGAGTCCAAGATTAAGGTGCTGGTACACTAGAGCCTGCTGAGGGCCCCTTTCCTGGTTCATAGACAGCTATTTCTGGGTACTCACATTAGCAGAAGGGTCAAGAAAGTTCTCTATGGTATCTTTTGTAAGGACATTGTTCCATTCATTAGGGCTCTCCCTTCATGACCTAATCTCCTTCCAAAGGCCCTACCTTCTAATACCAGCACTTTGGGGCTTAGGATTTCAAAACATAGATATTAGGGTGACATATATATTCAGACCATAATGTGATAGCTATCTAGATGTTTGATGGCAGAGAAAATGAAATAAGAATGGAAAAATTTTCATGATAAATGTATATAATTGACAAACCTTTAATATTTGACAGTAAAATAGGCAAGGAGTAGGAGCACAACAGAGAAAATATCATAGAAGGCAGAAGAGCATGTTTCAAGAAAGAGGAGCTGTTCAACCTTGTTAAAGTCAGATCTAGTAAGAATAAGGTCTGAAAAGGATCCACTAATTCTGACATGAAAATCACTGATAAATTTTCCAACAAAAAGACCACTTATATTCACGCTTATGATGGTGAGTGAAGAGATACTATCAGCATTCTGTTAACCAATGTTTTCTCTTGGCAAAAGGGGCAGAATCTAATGGGACATTTGCTTCCTATTATAACAGTGATGAAAATTCCAACTGCAGGATGACAGTGTACTTTTTGTAAAGTTTATTGAAAACCCATTTATAGTTTATTGAAAACCCATTTATAGTATCACCCATTTATAGTTGAAGGTGTGCGTATGCTAAACTACAAAATTTTCCTGTTTAGGGATGGGGAAGTACAGTAGTAAATTTTTTATACTTGAAAACGAGGAGACATGTACTAGAATATTCATAACAAAAGCATTTATAACATGAAAAGTAAAAAACAGATTGAGCATAGGCCTATGAACCAAAGGTTTGCTGATTTGATTCCTAGTCAGGGCACATGCCTGGTTCCAGGTCCCCAGTAGGGGGTTCATGAAAAGCAACCACACATTAATGTTTCTCTCCTTCTCTTTCTCCTTCCCTTCTCTATAAAAATGAGTAAAATGTTTTTTAAGTAAAAAACAACATAAATATATATTAAAAGTAGTATATGTATCTGTATACTACAAATATATATGGTGGTGAATATCAATGAACCTCAGGTATTACAATTTAGAATTAACTTGGGTTTATGGTATAAGGATCCAGTTTTATTTGTTTGCCTGTGGCTATCCAGTTTTCCAGTGTCATTTGTTGAAGATAGTGTTCTCTCTTTATTGGGTACCCTGTTGAAGACCAGTTGACTGTTCATTCATGGATTTATTTCTGGGCTCTCTATTCAGTTCCATTGGTCTACATATCTCTTTATGTATGTGTCATACTGTTTTGAATACTGTAAGTTTGAAATGTTATTTGAAATCAGAAAGTGTGATGCCTGTAGCTTTGGCCTTTC